AGATGATTATAAAAGTCTGAACAGCCAAATTGGAAAACTTCCTGGCAAGGGAAGAAGGCAATGGGAGTTTGTGTTTTGACATATCACTGGGGATTTTTAGGTGGGATACATCTTTGACATCCCGAGGATTGTTGAAAAATGTCAGGAAGCTCAACTCGAAACTGCTCTGGTTCTTTTTGCCTCTGTTCAGTTGAGCTCCGCTTCAGCCTGGGTGAGCCTCTGTACAGAGGAGAGAAGCTCCGTTCTTATTGTCAGTGTCTTTTCCTTTAAGAAAGAAAGATAAACCCTATTGATCAACCAACCAGGGAAGGCAGACTGGTAAGCAATGAAGTTCAAACCTGGCTTTGTTTAAAAATCACCTGGTTGGCTTTTGAATAATAAAGATGATTGGGCCTCATCTCAGAGAAATGGAATCGGAAACATCTCTGAAATGGGACCTGGGCATCCCTATGTGTAAGGAAGGGCCTTCAGCTGATTCTGATGTGCTGCAGCTTTTGGAAATACTGTACTATATAATAAAGGGCTTTTGAGTGCATGTCTGAAGATGTAGTATCTAACCTCAGCTATGCCTCTAACGGTCTCGATGTTTCCCTCCCTGGGCCTCTGTATCCTTCTCTGTAAAATGAATAACACCACAGACCTTTCTCTGCACAAGGCAGGGTCTTTAGCCAGGGCACCATGTTGTCTCTTCTCTAACCGCAGAACTGAATGCACTCCAGGAGGAGCTGAAGCCCTTTGGCCTAGTTGTGTTGGGCTTTCCCTGCAACCAATTTGGAAAGCAAGAACCAGGAGAGAACACAGAGATTCTTCCTGGACTCAAGTAAGTATAGCTCGAAACCCAGCAGGAAGCCTCTGCCTATCTTCCTCAGTCTCCAGAAGCTCTTCCACATCTCAGGAACTTCCTGGGTGGCTGGTGGATTAAAAGGCTCAGGGCATCTGCAAACTGATTTTAACCTTAGCCCACCCTGAAGAGAATCTGGCAGTGTCTAGAGACTCTCTCCATCTCTGGCTGAGATCTGTACGGACTGTGGAAGAACTGGAGCACAGAAAGGCTGTGGGATCAGGGGCAGGTTGTGGAATAGAGAAAAATAGCATGAATCAAAGAGCCTAAAGTCAAAAAAATGGACTTATTTTCCGTCACCCTCTCTGTGTACTATATCTGCCTCTGTCTGTTCTTTCCCATGACCTCAAATCCTACAGTCCCATCATAACTTTCTCATATCCTGGAGCTTCCTAGAACATTTGGATCATTGCAGGTATGTCCGTCCAGGGGGAGGATATGTACCTAATTTCCAGCTTTTCGAGAAAGGCGATGTGAATGGTGACAAAGAACAGCAAGTCTTCACCTTCTTGAAGGTGAGTGAATTACTGGCATAAGCCTCCTCCTCCTTCCTAATATTCCTAGAATACAGCTGGTGTGGTGGAAATGGACCCAGGGACTCATGCCTGGAGATGGGATTGGTCTTTGTGGAGGAAATCTCCAGATCATCACAGGGATGTGGGTTTAATCTGTTAGTATCTATGGGACTCTGGCTTTGTGTGGTACAGAGAGTTGTGTGGAGTGGCAGCTTTTACTGGGACCACTCCTTTTGCTCATTGACATTCATTCATTTATTCAAGGTACATTTTTTTTTTTGTCCTTTTTTGTGAACGGCTGCACCACGCTCAGCCAGTGAGTGCACTGGGGCCATCCCTATATAGGATCGGAACCCGCGGTGGGAGCGCTGCTGCACTCCCAGCGCCGCACTCTCCCAAGTGCACCACGGGGTCGGCCCTATTCAAGGTACATTTATTCAGTACCTGCTATCTATAAGGCAGGATAAATAATAAGGATATAAAAATGGATAAGACACAGTCCCTACCCTT